TGTTTTCAGTTTCCACAATTTGTTGTTTTCACCCTTTTCTATTAGGCTGTGTTTTAGAAAAATCCCACTGTTGCTGTTTGAGTAGTATTTTTAGAGAGACTGAAGCCACATGTTTTTGTGCAATTTGCCATCTTTAGCCAGATATTACACTATTTGTAAACAGAACACAGCCTGTCACTTTTCAGATGTTCTGGCTAAGATGCAGATTTGATGTTCCAAAGCTGTGGCATAGTCATCTGGACAGCTTTCTCAATTTTCTCTCTGAATATTAGAGAAATATTTCACTTTGCCTTTCTTGGTTATCTTAAGCCTCATTTCTTAGAAAGTAAGAGCTTAGTCACTGCGTTAACAGAATTCAGTCTCTGATATTGAGAAAAACACCCATGTTAGAAGACCAAAAGTGGAAATTCAATTTCATCTCAGAAATGGTCCTTGTGTTGTGTCACTGAGGACAGTGGATATTGAAGCCAGAAGTCCTGGTTTATTTTAAGAATGTCGTAAAAAAGTTGTGCTCCATCAGCTGATTCTGTTACACAGCATTGGGGAAGTCCTGGAACTACACTTGTGTCTGACTCCCCCTCCACCATAGTATGCCCCAGTCCCCTGGGAGCACAGTCTTTCCTAGCTGTTACCATATATATATATATGTTCTTCTTCCAGTGTGCTCCTCTCCCATCCCCAAAATAATCAACATGAGCAGAATGAGGCAGATGGCACAAGCCTTCTTTGGCATCCTCACAGATCCGTATCACTCACTCAGTATTTTTAGAATCAAGGGGACTGAAAATTATGTCCTGAGATGTTTTGGGGGTAAGACTTACTATCTCTCCAGGGTGACAGGTGTTGAAGTTCAGCACTGTATTTAAGACTTAAATGCAATCTCTATGTCAAGTCATAGAACAGACTGACTCTCATCAGGACCATCGCTCTGTCGGTTCTGTTAGGATCACTGGTAGTTTGCCAGATAATATAAAGTTGTCATAGTTGTTTTAAAGATGATGGCCAGAAAGTGCATTGGGTTTCAACCAAAGATTAGAATCATCAGTAAACAGCCAGAACTGATGGAGTGCATGGTAATGAGGGATGTTATATATAAACATACAGTTGTTTTTTTTTCAATAGCTAAGCGTTGATCCTCAACCACAGAGTTTATTGCCTGTTGGGGAAGATGCTCTTATTTTTACAGAAGCTTATTATTATATCATGAAAACAAATATTTGTATTCTAAGGCCCATATTGAAGAAATATATAGTTATGGTGATAAAGATTACTATGAATTTGAGTTCATTAAGGACTTTCTGAAGAAATTTAAGAATATTCACTATCATATAACAGATGGTCCTGAGGACCATCTTTGCACTTAGTGTTAGGCTTAGTATATTAAAAACACAGACCTGGGGCCGGGCACAGTGGCTCAAGCCTGTAATCCCAGCACTTTGGGAGGCCAAGGCAGGTAGATCACTTGAGGTCTGGAGTTCAAGACCAACCTGGTCAACACGGTGAAACCCTGTCTCTATTAAAAATACAGAAAATTAACTGGATGTGGTGGTGGATGCTTGTAATCCCTGCTACTCGGGAGGCTGAGGCAGGAGGATCATTTGAACCCAGGAGGTGGAGGTTGCAGTGAGCTGAGATTGTACCATTGCACTCCAGCCTGGGCAAGAACAGTGAAACTCTGTCTCAAAAAACAAACAAACAAACAAAAACCAAAAACTCACAGACCTGGAGCTCAAGATAAAGCCTTAGGAAAAGATATCATGAAATAAGCATAAAAATGAGAGGCTTTGTTTTTTGAAGGGAAACCTGAAGTTGAAGGAAATGTGCCTCACCTTGAAATAAACCAGGGCCATGTCTAAAGCTCTGATTGTCCCCTTCATCTTTGAAGGCTCAAGGGAAATGTAGGTATGGGTGAGGTCCATGACTGCTGGCCTTTCGAACCTAGGGAAGAAGTGGCTGGAAAGAGATCTGGAAAATTTCATTCAGTGCCAAAGGCAATTTTTTCAATTGAGTATTTTTAATTTTTTCTTTGTACTCCTAGTGTGTTTGGTAAGCAATTAGTCAAGGTTTGCATCTGCTGAGAGAGAAAAAATGCAGGCTTTTTACTTGCCATCTTGTGTCCTTTCTGCACGCTTTTCCACGCTGCCACTTCCTTCCAGTATGATCATCGATATGGTGTAGTATCCACAGGGAAAGAATGTGTCTCTTTCCCGTTATACCCATAGCTAAATGGTTAAACATAAGCTGTACATTGACACATGGATCTATAGTACTTTCAATCCCAGTGTTTCATGAATGCTGCATATTTTTAGGGTGTTTGTTTAGATTCAGTGTGCTTTCAGATCCATTTTGTCCCAGTCGATTGTTCCAGCAGTCTGTTTACATACATAAGGTAACTATCACATGAGGAAACGGAAACTCAGGACATAGTTAACGTGGGTAAGCTGGAATTTGAACTGGGGAATCTTTCCACTGGATTCATAGAACAAGTGACTGGAGTTACAGCTTCAGGGTAAACACCTGAGGCTGAATCAGTAGCACAGTTGTGTCCAAAGCACAACCTTGCCTTCATCTCTTTTGATGGAGAAACCAAGACTCTGCCTGTGCCATCCAGGACAGCAGCCACTGGCTCGATGTGGCAATTTAAATTAAAGTTAAATAAAGTAAAAATTTCAGTTTCTCAGAGGCATGTTTTGAGTATTCAGTAGCCATCACATATGTGACACTTCCATCGTTGCAGAAAGTTCTATTGGACATACTGGTCATCTCATAAAGCAAGAGTTGGGGGTATCAGTTTACTGAGATAAGTTGAAAAACAGTGTCTATGCAGGGAGTTAAGCAGATGAAATACAAAACCCTCCCCACCAAACCAGCTCCTTCTCTGAAAGGACGAGTGGGACGAGTGCCGTCCTGAGTTCAGCTATAAAGGGAAGGAGAAGATGATGGATTTTCAAACTTCGTACTGTGTGTGTGTTGGTCTTTTTTAATAGACGTGGAAAGAACACAGAGCCTTTCCAAGTGAATGAATGTGTTTTAGAGCTGGGCTGGTATTATGGCCAGACTTCAGCTGGATGAGAAGTAGAACAGATTGTGATATCTAGCAGAGTAAATTCGGCAGGCGGAATAGAATTCCTAGAAGGAGCTATTTTGTTTGTGACCGGGGCTGTTGAGGATGCCTCAGGTGTGAACTGGAATACTGGAAGGGAACCAGGGGTTGGGGGAAAGGGGTTTGGGCAGAGTCAGGACAGGTAATCAGTTAAAATCACAGTTAATTGCGGTGGTTGTGCATGCTGCTAGACTCAATGCCATCAGAAAGAAGGTTTGGTGCCAATGAGCTGGCTGAGGACACTTGTGTGTCCCCTGGTTTGGATTAGTGCTGACCGAAAGTGCCTAAGTCAGCTTTCAAGTTTCCAAGTAGGTGGGGCAGGATGGTGAGAGGTATTTGCTTGGTACTGTGAACTCTGTTCAGACACTGAACACATCTACAGCACAAGATGAGGAACCCTACAAGTTTCCTGTAATATTTGCTGCTTAGAAAAAGAATATGTGTTTGCTTATGTGTATGTGCTGTGTAATGCTATATTTAAACAGGCTTAAACTGTTACTACAATAAAGCTGCGTCTCGTTAGACTCATACTTTCTGATAAGTAACCAAAAAGGTAAGTAAAAATTAACTTTTAACAGTACAGAGCAGCTCTAGAGACATGGCAATAAATGAGTGACTGCAAGGAGCAGGGAAGGCTTTAAAGACTCGTCACGATTGGGCAGTTTACCGTGAGTGCCCTGCTTACTGGCAGAGCTCAGCAAATGCTGGCCTGTGGGCAAAAGCTACTCAAGTGTCCTTCACCTAAGCATACAGTACTCTTAATTTTTTTAAAGTATTAGCACTTGAAAGGTGAGCATTTACCCACCTGAGAATGACTCCAGGTAGGCTGATTTGGAACCTGCTGTCAGAGGCCAGGGAGGAAATGTGGGGCGCTGGTCCAAGTCCTGAGAGTGAAGCTAGGAGGAGACGTCTCCTAGTATAAGTTTTTGGAACACAGTTTCTCAGCGTGGGTGGAAAGCCACCCTTGTAAGTGGAGTATTATTCATGATGCAGCCTCAGACACTTCAGGTTCCTCCAACGGTGGCCGGTTGGTAGAAAAAGAAGAACTTTGGTTTTGGTGACTCTGGCTAAGTCAGAAGGGTGATGATGATTTGGGTTGGAGGCAAGTTGGGTTTGAGGAGGCAGTAGGCCCACCTCCTGGAAGTGGCCTACCAGTGGGTAGCCGAATGAGCTCTCCGGGGTAGGGCCAGGGGAATGAAGAAAGGTCCATAAACAAAGGAGAAGAGATTAGTAAAACTGACTAAAGGATAGTGCCTACCAATCTGAATGTGGCCTGAGCTGGTTCCTGAGCTACCAGCTTTGTGCCCTGGGAATGTTTTCCCTCCTCATCACATCAGTGCAACTAGACTAGACTAGCTTTACCCACATTGTGTTTACATCAGCCCTTCTGCAGAGTAATCTTACAAACAAATTAACTTGGGTATATACAAATTATTTCTTATCCTCTGGAAGTTTAAACAGGTGTGATAAGCAACTAATGTTATGCTAACAATGAGCGAAGAGGAAGAACCCATGGTTTGAATAAGCGTGGGTGATTTTCGTTTAGGGACCAGTAAAAACACTTGAACACACTGAGGAGGGAAGTTTTTTTTTTTTTCCTTCTCCTTTGGTCAGTGACCTGAAATAGATAATACTGGATCGGTGGAAAGAACTGTCCTTATCAGAGGGAAAGTGTGCTCTACTGGCCATCGGTGCTATGATTCCTTATCCTCTGAGAAGCCAGATGTGTAGACTGATAGGTAGAAAGTCCTCTCGCAGCAAGAATTGTGTTCCATGAGCACCATTTAAAGGAACGCGTTGATTGTGGTTAGTTGATTCTGAAGTGGTCAGGGAGGAAAATCATTGTTTTCAAATGGCTAATCCAAGAAAACTGTTCCTCTTCTCTCTCTCTCCACAGCAATCCGGGGACCCACGACATGTCCCAGCTCTAGTGATGCTCATTACCTTTCTGCTCCTGAATTGCACCTGTGCCTCAGACTTTCTTTCCCAAGCTTGAGACTGCATATAAACTGGGATGTGTGAAAGCAGGAAACAAAGCTAGTGACAGCTGAGAGGCCCATGTCTGGGTAGAACCAGGTCCACGATGCTGCCTCTCCTGTGGTCGGGAGTTCAGCTGCAGGGGCTCTGCTGATGTGCCAGCACCATCCTTCTGTTTGTGCTTAAATGGCACAGCGTTTGCTCAGCACATCTGAAAAGAAAGTTGTGAGAAGCAAAGCCCATGGCCACGTTCCCCTGCCAATTATGTGGCAAGACCTTCCTCACCCTGGAGAAGTTCACGATTCACAATTATTCCCACTCCAGGGAGCGGCCGTACAAGTGTTTGCAGCCTGATTGTGGCAAAGCCTTTGTTTCCAGATATAAATTGATGAGGTGAGAGGCTTTAGCAAAGGTATGCACTTTTACAAGTATATTTGAATGGCTTTTCTAGCTCCCAGACCACGTGATGCAAGGGGAAAGGGACCTGGGATACTGATGCATTTTAGCTTTTGAGGGATTCTTTAAAGCTGCATCCCGTGATTCCTGTGGTTGTATGTGACAGTATTGTTGCGCAGTGTCAGTTCATTATTTCAACAGAGATTTCTTATGCACCTACAATGTACCAGGCCTCTCCCCATGGCTGGAGAAATAGGAAAACAATTAAAATGCAACCTCAGTGCTTTGACAGAGCTATACAGGTGGAAGAAGTTGTTCTCACTGCTTGAAGAAACTTGGGAAGGCTTCTCAGATGGGGGCAATCTTAACCTATGACACAATGAAAGAGGAGGAGGTGGAGCAGAGGTTCTGGGAAAGCCATAAGTCTTGGCCTTAAAGCACCCATGTACCGAGGGTACTACCCCAAGGAGGAGCAGGCGAGGCTCAATGTGCAGGCAGGAAGGAAGCCACGTATAGCAGGCCTCACCTCTGAGACGGTTTGTCTCATTCAGGTGTGTAAGTAGTGAGGTAATATGATTCGTTTAGTATTCTAGACAGAGGACTCTGATAATTCGAGGAAGTGGCACGTAGGTTGATTTGAAACCTGCTGTCAGAGTCTAGAGATGAAATGCAAGGGGCTGGGCCAGGTCCTGAGAGTGCAGCTGGGAGGAGACAACCCAGGTGTTAGTTTTTGGAGCACAGTTTCTCAGCGTGGGTGGAAAGCCACCCTAGTAAGTGGAGTTCAGATGGGTATGCAGGGGCAGAGCAGGTGCATCTCATCAGTTTTAAAGGCATCCATGGCACATGAAAGGAGAAAAACCACTATTTTTGAGTCTTGAAAAAAAAATTACATTTAATCTGAATTATTTATTGAATGCCTGTTAGGTACCTGCTTTCATGAGGGAAATGAATACAGTAGGTGTAGTTTCTGCCCCCAGGGGATCTTTTCACTATCACAGGAAAGACTCCATGTACACGCAGTGGCTGCGCTGCAGCGTTCTGGGACTGGTAATGAGCATGGTGTGTGTTGTGTCTGTGTTCACTCAGAGCCACACACACAGAGCGCCCACTCACACCTGCTGAGTTTGATACTTGATGAAGGGAAATGCACCATTTGCCTTTAATTTTATGAAATAAAAAAGTTTCAACTTTGTCCTACAAATGCCTGGAGAGAGCCAGGTTTTAGCAAGTGAGACTTTCCATCTGAGTGGTAGTACCGCAGACCACGTTATTAAATCTTGGAGTGACCCTGGAGGAAGGCACTTGAAAGACTTGAAAAGATACAAATTATGCTCCTGGCCCTTAAGAATACCACTGTGATGCATAATGAAATATAATAAGTTGGTTTTAAAAATTAGCCTGTAAATGCTTAGATATTTTAAAATTCAAGTGTCCTCTGTACATGGGCCCCCCTTCAGCTGTCACAAGTAGAAGTATTGAGTGCCTATCACATGCATGATTTTGTTGCAAGGCTCCGTGTTTTGCATGAAGCTTCTTGCGTGTGCGTGGGGTAAGCATCCTTACCCAAACACGAGGGCACCCCTGGCTGCACCTGAGCCACAGCGAGGACACTAAAACTGTGGATAAAGACCGAAACACAAAGAAGGATAAATGTTTAGAAAAGAAGAATTAGAACTGTTGAGATTACAGTTGACCCTTGAACAACATGAGTTTGAGCTGCATAGGTCCGCTTATATATGAATTTTTTATTGACCAAGTGCAGATTGAAAGTACAGTGTTTGCAGGATGTGAAACCTGTGTATACTGAAGGCTGACTTTTCATATACACATGCTGGACATGTGTATGAAAAGTGTAGGGTGGATCGCAGGACTTGAGTACGTTTATTTGGGTAGGACGGCAGTAGAGTCAGTCCCCCGCATGTTCTGAGAAATAATTTACTATGGTAAGCTGCACTGAAAAAGAAGTCTTAAGTCATGTTTAGAACATAGTTGTTCTGAGCAAGGAAAATGGCTTGTTCAGTTAAGGGCATAAAGAGAGGCAAAAAAGGGAAGCAGTCAGGGCACTTAAGAACCACCTTCACTTCCCCAGCCCCCAACATTTCTTACCTCTCTTGCCTGAAGCAGTAATATCATAAAGGAATGGAAGAGTGTGAGATGGCAGGATGCTTCCGGATTTGCTTTAAGAAAAATGATGATGGGGCAGCATTCCATCCGTTTGCTATCAGTTGCAACATAAGCTCTATTTTATAAGCAGAGGTTGAAGGAGAAAATAACTGACTTGCGTAACCAGAAAACAGAATGTCGTCCCAGTACAGCAGATAATGAAACCAGTTAGATAGAGACAACAACAGGCAAGAAAAGATGATTTGGCAAGGTTGGAATTCCTAATGTGAAGAATCAACCCCTAAAGAATTCTGAGATCACTGACCGTGATCCAGACGATACCCAAGGACATTGGGTAATGACTCTAGGACATACTAGAGCTGTTTTCATGGGTTATAAGGTAAGACAAAAAATTTGAGGGAAAGAAACAAGTCATTGAAGTCATTTCAGCTATAAGATGAGAATATTCTAGATCAGGATTGTTGTATAAGTAAGAAAGGGATAAATTAAAAGGGAAAGAAGTAGATGCCAGGCAAGGGAAAGAGTCAAGAAATTCAGAAGTGGGGTGAGGGGCGGGGGCAGCTAGTGAAGTTTGGAAGGCAGTGGTCTTGCTCAAATACTATTGGGGTGTCAGCCTGTGTCCCACTTATAGGTAGTATGGGTCTAGGACAGGAAATAAACCAGGTGCAGAGCCATTAACCTGTACTGATCTACCCATTTGTGATCAATGAAATCAAATCAGATGAAAATCCTCTATATTAAAAGGAAAGAGAGAGGCACAAACTGACCCCTAGCTGTGGGGTCTCATTCACCAGTACTGGGCCAAAGAAAAGGTTCAAATACCAAGTGTGTAAGCCAGCCCCCCTCATATTTATTTACTTAGAACAACATGGCTATTCACTCTCTAACATGCTCTGAAACCCTTTCTCCAACCTGTGCATTTATTTAGATAGACCTAGAATGTGGCGACATCAGCACAATCTGGTTTCTCAGATGCCCATTGTATTGGTTCCTGTCCCTGCCTTACGGCACCCACCATATTATCATGTTATGTGCAAACAAGCCATGGTGTCTTGGAGGGAAGGGAAGGAATTCACACAGCAGACTTTTTTTTTTTTGAAGAGAGAGAGCAGGGAGGTATGAGGTTTTACTTTATTTTAAAGAAAATGACAGTTTGATCCAGATCAGCTTTATATTTTTGGCACTGGCTTCCAGTAGGCCTCTTAGTGGGGGCCTCCACCCAACAGCGGCTAATGTAGACCCCTCACCAATTCTGGCTCCACAAAAGGAGCAGGAATAAACAGTATAGGGCAGATGTTGGCTGAAAGGTATAATTAATATACTTTTGACTTAAACATACTGTCTTAAGGAGATCCTATCTCTTTTATGGAATGAGTTCTTAGAAATTCTGTAGTGTCTAGTGTAAAAGCTCACAGTGTAGGACTGCACTTAAATTGTCAGTTAGGACAAGCTTTAGCCTCTTAGGACCAAACCCCTAAAGGAGGTAACTGACCTGAAGGATATGAAGCTACAAGTAGTAATTAAGGATTCTGTTTTATAGGAGATACTAACATACAGTGCTTGGTGTTTTAGTTATTAAAATGAACCTTTTTAGAGCTTAAGGATGACAAACTCGGGGTTTCCTTAACACCACTGAGTTTTTTGTTTTTTGTTTTTGTTTTTTGAGACAGAGTCTCACTCTGTCGCCCAGGCTGGAGTGCAGTGGCACGATCTCGGCTCACTGCAGACCTGCAAACTCCACCTCCCAGAGTGATTCTCCTGCCTCAGCCTCCCGAGTAGCTGGGACTTCAGGTGTGTGCTACCATGCCTGGCTAACTTTTTGTATTTTTAGTAGAGATGGGGTTTCACCGTGTTAGCCAGGATGGTCTCAATCTCCCGACCTTGTGATCTGCCTGCCTCCGCCTCCCAAAGTGCTGGGATTACAGGTGTGAGCCACTGTGCCCAGCCCCCACTGAGTTGTTAAAAGCCAACACTGAGTTTAGATGTTAGCAGGTCAGTGGAACTATGAAAGAGATGGAATTGTGATGGCTTTCCGTGACTAATTTCTGCTTTACAAATATAAAAGAGCTACTTTGAAATTCCAAATTCACTAGACAGACTACTTGTCCCTGAAGTCCTTGTTGAAGAAAAACTTACAGCTCTTATGAGTAGCAGCTTAGTAGTTAAAGAAAAAAGTTTGTTTTAATTTTGTCAATTAAATTACCAGTGACCTTCAAGAAGTGAGTTGAAGGTGTCTTAGAGGGAAAATTTGAGGTAATGGAGACCAGCAGTAACATTGGAGATGAGAGCTGATAGGCAAGCATTGATGAAGGAAATCAAGACAGTGGTGAGATCTCATGGTGGGCAGAGGCTGAGGCTGAGAGCACAGGCAGTGGACTGACGTTCGGGGTCCTATTAGACACTTTTCTTAAGGATGCATTTTTAAAGAGGCTCCTAAGAGTTATATGTCCATGGCCTGAACTTTTTGTCTCAATCAACAGAAACATCAGAACTACAAACAATAACCTGAAACTGGGGCATTACGCGGTTCTGGGTAGCAGGCAAATTGAGTCACTTGAATTTCCAAAGTATATAAAAGACCCCTTTAACCCCTTTCTGAAAAAGATTTTTCATGGTCACATATTTTTAAATACTTGCACACTTTGTTTAGAAATCTGTATACATTAAGAAAACATGTTCTCTTAAAGAATATTCTGGTCAGGCACAGTGACTTGTGTCTGTAATCTCAACACTTTGGGAGGCCAAGGCGGGAGGATCAGTTGAGCCCAGGAGTTTGAGACTAGCATAGGCATATTGAGACATTGTCTCTACAAAAAAATTAAGGAATGGAAAAAAAAATTAGCCAGGCCTGATGGTGTGTGCCTGTTGCTGCAGCTACTTGAGAGGCGAAGGTAGGAAGCTTGCTTGAGCTCAGGAGGATGAAGCAGCAGTGAGCCATGATGCACCACTGCACTCCGGCGTGGGTGAAAGAGTGAGATCCTGTCTCCAAAAACGTTTTATAGGTGCAAAAGATGCATGTGTCTTTAATATGGCTTGCTTTTTTTAATCATGAAAGTTTATATATTTGGAAAATATAGAAAAGAATTTTGAAAATGATACCAAGACCCAGAGAAAACTATTAACACTTTGATATAATAGTGTTTCTACACCTTTCTTCATCCCTTAAAACAGCTCTCTATTGCGAATTTCTCCTTCTGCTTCTAGGCACATGGCAACCCATTCTCCTCAGAAGTCTCACCGGTGCGTTTACTGTGGGAAGACATTCAACCGGAAAGACCACCTGAAAAACCACCTCCAGACCCACGACCCCAACAAAATGGCCTATGGGTGTGATGAGTGTGGGAAGAAGTATCACACCCTGCTGGGCTATAAGAGGCACCTGGCCCTCCATGCGGCCAGCAGTGGCGACCTCACCTGTGGGGTCTGTGCCCTGGAGCTAGGGAGCACCGAGGTGCTGCTGGATCACCTCAAATCCCATGCAGAAGAGAAGCCCCCTAGTGGAACCAAGGAAAAGAAGCACCAATGCGACCACTGCGAAAGATGCTTCTACACCCGGAAGGATGTGCGACGCCACTTGGTGGTCCACACAGGATGCAAGGACTTCCTGTGCCAGTTCTGTGCCCAGAGATTTGGGCGCAAGGATCACCTCACCCGGCATACCAAGAAGACCCACTCACAGGAGCTGATGAAAGAGAGCCTGCAGAACGGAGAGCTTCTGAGCCCCTTCCATACCATCTCGCCTTCATTCCAACTGAAGGCTGCTGCCTTGTCTCCTTTCTCTTTAGGAGCTTCTGCCCAGAACGGGTTTGCAAGTAGCTTGCCACCTGAGGTCCACAGCCTCACCTTTGGGCCCCCAGAACAAGCTGCCCAGCCTATGCAGCCGCTGCCAGAGTCCCTGGCCTCCATCCATCCCTCTGTAGCCCCTGGCTCTCCTCCACCACCCCTTCCCAATCACAAGTACAACACCACTTCTACCTCATATGCCCCACTTGCAAGCCTGCCCCTCAAGGCAGATACTAAAGGTTTTTGCAATATCAGTTTGTTTGAGGACTTGCCTCTGCAAGAGCCTCAGTCACCTCAAAAGCTCAACCCAGGTTTTGATCTGGCTAAGGGCAATGCTGGTAAAGTAAGCCTGCCCAAGGAGCTGCCTGCAGATGCTGTGAACCTAACAATACCTGCCTCTCTGGACCTGTCCCCATTGTTGAGCTTCTGGCAGCTGGCCCCTCCTGCTACCCAAAATACCTTTGGGAATAGCACTCTCCCCCTGGGGCCTGGGGAATCTCTGCCCCACAGATTAAGCTGTCTGGGGCAGCAGCAGCAGGAACCCCAAATTGCTGTGGGCACTGTGAGCCTGGGTCAGCTCCCCCTGCCCCCTATCCCCCATGTGTTCTCAGCTGGCACTGGCTCTGCTATCCTGCCTCATTTCCATCATGCATTCAGATAACTGATTTTAAAAGTGTATTTTTCGTATTCTGGAAGTTGTTTTGGGAAGCCTCTTATATGTCAGTTACAACATGAGAAAGATTTGGAAAACGGGACTGGGACTGTGGCTTATTCAGTGATGACTGGCTTGAGATGAGAGAATTCTCAAACTGCATGTATTGTGCCAATCTGTCTTGAGTGTTCATGCTTTGTACCAAATTTAACGAATGCGTGTTCTGTAATCAAACTGCAAATATTGTCATAACCAACATCCAAAATGACGGCTGCTATATATAAGTGTTTGTCATATGGAATTTATCGTAAGCCATGCTCATCATAATGTTAACTAAATAACTTTATGTGGCACTGCCTAGTAAGGGAACTATGGAAAGGTTTGGATTTCTCCAAATTGGGAGAATTTTAAAAATAAGAAAATAACCTTTATATGGCATATTATAACTAGGCTGTGTATTTCTTTTCAGGGATTTTTCTACCTTCAGGGTTGGATGTAGTTTAGTTACTATTATCATAGCCAACCTGTAGTTTTGCATATACAATTTCTTGTGGAGCAATAGAGTTCTCCATTTTACAGAAGCATTTTAAATGTAGTCTGAATATTTTTCACAAGATGCTGCAATGTGAGTTATCACTTCATTTATCTTAAAGACTAAACTGGTTGTCAGTTACATCTGACAGAAAAAAAAAAATCACTGTGTAACCAGGTTAAGTGGTAAAATAATCCAGGCGTCAGTCAAAGGATTTTGCTGACTTTAATATTGATTATATTTTTAACAGGAATTTAAGAAAATATTACTGGAATTAAAAATATATATATATTAAGAATTTTCTTTGCTCTGTCTAGCTTAAACTACTACTCAAGCTGTGTAAGTTCTTAAGTATTGTTTTTAATCACCAATAAATAAGTGCTTTTGTAATTCATCAGTTTAAGTCATTATTAGCTTTTATTCAAAGAAGATTATGTTTTACAATGTAACTATAATCTCTTTAATTTGCTATCTTATTAACGAGTTTTAAAGATGTAACACCTAACCTTTTTTAAAGCTCCATTGTCTTTTGTTTTTAGAGGCTTTCTTTTTCCATAAACATATATCTTGCATTTAATAAAGTTTTCAAATCTTGCAATTTGGCTTGACTAATTAATTTCTCATACAGCTCCACCTGTGTCAACATGAACTGCATACACTCAGATCAAGATAGAAAACACTTCCGGCTCCGAGCCGGCTCCCTCACGCCCCCTCCTGGTCATTACTTCCCCCACGGAAACTACTGTTCTGACCTCTACTGAGCATCATCTATTAAGAACTTTACTTTTCTTGAGTAAAATAGTTATGAGTTAAGATAGAAGTTTATATGCTTCAGTTAAATTCACAGGATTAAGATCTTATTTCTAAAAACACTATTTTAAATCCTTTAATGTGACACATTTTATTTCGAATGTATAGATTAGAATATGTCTACCAGAGGAGTTTAGTCTAATTTGGGCTACGATGATCCACTTTTACATGGTGTTTACCATTAATTTCTAGCCAAACTAGAAATTTACGTATTTCTTATTGGGATTTCCTCAAAGTATTATGCCCCTTATATCTGACACACCTGTTTCTTCTTGTTTTACCCCAAAATAGGGTGAGGGTAGGTAAAGAAAGGAAAGACAAGTTTGTCTGTCTATCCAAGAAGCCCATTGGCCAAATGTGAGAAGGCCTGACCCACTCACAGTCCTGGACAATGATGCCGATGACCGTGTAAGGGGCAAACAGCTACCCAGGGTTGGTGCTGAGAAGGAAGCTTAATCTATGAGACCCAGCTGCCAGTCAGACTTGGGTCTTTAAACTACAGTGGAACCTGTGGGGAGGAAATGAGACAAAGTGATACAAATTATTCCATTAGAAGGAGTCCACTGCTCTGGGATGTTTAAGTCAGTTCCCATATTCCCTCTCTCTTTGTTCTCAGATGGAAAGCAATCTCCTAGGGCACAAGGGGAAAGAGGAGTGGCTCATCTCAACTAAAACCTCCCAAGATCCATTTCTAGAAGCTCCCACAGATACTTTTACAAGGCTTACTACTGTCTCCTGTCAGTTCCACAACACATACTTGATTTTCTTGAACACAGAACATAGCATTTGGAGTTTAGTCCCCAAAATAGACCATAAGAATTTCAGGAACTCTACTTAAATTTGGACAGAAATAAATGGTTTAATTGTTCTAATTAAAATTTTATGAAGTTAAGAAAAAGTTACTGAATTTAAAACTACGAGTTAAGTATAACTGACTCTACAAAAAGAGGTCTATTGACCCTTAAGATTGCAAAGAGGCTGGGCACAGTGGCTCATGCTGGTAATCCCAGCCCTTTGGGAGGCCAAGGTAGGCAGATGGCTTGAGCACAAGAGTTCAAGACTAGCCTGGCTGACAGCGAAACCCCATGTCTACCAAAAATATTTTAAAAATTAGCCGGTTGTGGTAGTGCAAGCCTGTGTGTTCCCAGCTACCTGGGAGGTTGAGATGGGAGGTATTGCTTGAGCCGAGATCGCGCCACTGCACTCCAACTAGGGTGACAGAGTGAGATCCTGTCTCCAAAAAAAAAAAAAGACTGCAAAGAGAAGGAAGAGTCACTTCCCAACAGAGCAGAGCTCTGTATAAATCAATGCTAAAGAAGTGAACAGATGGCTTCTGATTTAGCCATGATAAATAAATGGCTTGAGGCCACTGAGAACATTCTTTCCACATGATGGAAAATTTCTCCTCCAGTGTTTCCCCCAAACATGGTCTGTGTGACTGGTATATGTAAGACAATTCTACACAGTATATACATAAACATTTAGAATAAGCATCATAACTACAATACTAGATGCCAATATATGCAAAATGAAGCTAGTTAAAAAAAGATTTTCCTAGTAAGTAAATAATGTTAGTTCTCCAATTACTAGTCTACTAAAAAGATTCTAATGTCAAAGCAACATTGTCTTTAAAAACCCATCAAATGTCCAGTTAAAAACCTTCAAGTGAATTTGAATAATGCATTATACAGATCAATGTGCTTAGCGGTTTTGTTTTGAAAATTTCAAAGGGAGTAAATAAAAATTTGAAGCTAGTTTTACTTTTACTTGTTCTAAGTGATTTTTCAAGAAGAATCAAGGGTGTATAAACAGACATCACATCTACGTTCCTTCCCCTTAGGTGGCATTCCCGGGTATGCAGCCATCCAGGCTGATGGGTTTCAGGGAGCCCGTCTGAAAGCAGAAAGAAGAGGCGTTTATTTTAGAAAGTCATTGTTCCCACATTGAGAATGCTAAATAACAACATACGGTTCTTTAGAGTTTTAATTATTTTGCAAACAATTCACACTCTCAGGGGACTGTGCTTTTTGAGAGTAAGGTGCTTAGAAAAAGGGACAAGGCAGTAACCTTCCAGGTCAAAAGTGAGGGATCATTCCCTTTCCTGTTAAGTCATGAATCAGAAACTGAATATCCTCTTCAAACTGTATGTTTAACAGAAGAGTCAGTTTCAAGTCAGTTTCATTTTGTTAACAACTCAGAGTTTGCCCAAATGTTTCTTCAGTCTGCCTCCTATGCATCCATTCTCTTAAAAGTCATTAACTGGTCAGCAACATCTGGATTAACGGTGATATTTTTTTTCTTACCTGGCTTCTAGGAGTTAATCTTTTTTAGAAGATTTGCTTAATCCTTGTCTGAGTTTTGCTCCAGAAGCAGGGTCCATAGCTAATCCTTTGCAAACATAAACAGATTTGTTATTATGTCAAAGCAGAACATTACCAAGAAAAAAAATACATGATTGTGAAATCCCCGCATGGGTTCAAAAGTTTCTATTTTTTTTTCTTTTTGGTGGGAGGTAGGGGAGTGTGATGGGAGGACAGTGAGGGGGGGTAGCTATAGACAAATACCCACTCTCTGGCCTGAACCAAAGAAAAACAGGGGTTGCCTCAGGTGCTTTCTCTCCTCTGCCCCTAGCCTCTGTTTACTCAAGGACTTTGGACTGCACCTCGGTTGACCCACCCTTCATACACTAGGACTCTCAACATCCCCTCTGCTACTGCCCCAGCTTTCAAAATGGACCCTGATATTTTGTATCTTCAAAATCTTTGCTAGTTCTCATATGAGAAGATTTTGCTAAGCCTTATGGAAGCTTAAGCTGCCTTCCCTGCTTGGGGTTATTTACGTGATAAATGGATTCATTCCACAAACAGTATTCTTTCCCTTGAGCCCAGCGGCACTGTTACGGATGGAGGGACACAAGCTTATGTGTGACACGCCATAGCTTGGTTTAGTTTTGACCACATCGTAGGGGAAAGGATTCTCAGAGGTTCTTTTTTTGTTAAAAAATAAAAAAGGAATACGTTTCCTCTGTCCTAAGAAGGCTCCTTTCTACTCAATGTTTTATGAAGGGGCAATAACAAGGGCATTGTGAATCAAGCTCTCACAGGACATAGGAATAGAAAGAGCTTTCAGTGTTGGTTTTACTGAAACATAAACAGATTTTCCTTCTGCCAAAGAATCCGCAACTGACACTTTGATGCACAGTAGATTTGCTACACAACTAAATTAGCTAAAGGATGGAATGCTGGTGCAGGTAAGATGCTTCACTTGATAAAAACCCACTGGCTCTGGAAGTAAAGCAGAGCTCACACCAGCAAAGCTGTACAAATGCAGTCCACTGCTAAATATACAAAGCAATGCAGGTCTAAATCCCAGAACCACGTGCTCATAGTCACATTACTCTCTGTACAAAGATCTGGGAGAAGCAGCTTCTTGGCAGGACCTTCCAGTACATTCATCATTCATATAAACAAAAGCCTCCAGAAAACAGCCACCAGTATATATTTGCTGACTAGGCTATACATTCATTTCCCAACTAAACATTAGAATCTTTTAGGAATGTAAGAAGAGCCATATCTTTTTCTAAAACCATTCCAAATATGTATCAACAGCCTTAATATTTATGTTTTTGGACCCATTTATCCCAAAGCATACAGAGCTTTGGCAAAAAGCTCTGCCGCTTCCTATTAAGTTGCTTGTCTATGTTGCTGAACCTCTCTGTGTTTTCCCATCTGTAAAATAGAGATATAAAGAGTAGACCTCTTCATGCTATTGCAAGAATGAAATGAGTTCACATGCAAAGGGTTTGGAAGAGTGTTCAATATAAGTGGGGGCTACTGTCCACGAACAAGACTTATTCAGTATAGCAAACAAGTAGAGGCACTCTACCTGCTCACCATCAGGAAATCAGCTAAATGATTTATGTTGTACTCCTGTGATATCATACTATGTTTTCAAAGAAACTCTTCTGCCATAGGAAAATATTCAAAGTGGGACAGGTGAAAAAATATCAGGATGTGTAACTGTACAGAGACCATTATTCTAGGTTTAACAAAAGAAAAACAGAGAAGGAAGAATATGAAAAGAAAAAAAAACAAATAAAATCAATAGTGGTTATGTTAAGGTGGTGGAATTCTGATTTTTAAAAATTCTTTTCCCTCCATTTTCCAGTATCTTCTACAATAAGCATGAATTTCTTACATTGTTTTCAAAATGCTATTTCTCAAAAGAAATTTTAGGCAGGCTAACTTAAAGTGGCTAGAAACAAAAAGTCCCCACCAGGCGCGGTGGCTTTTGCTTGTAATCCCAGGCATAGGTGGGCGGATCACCTGAGGTCAGGAGTCGATACCAGCCTGGCCAACATAGTGAAACCCCGTCTCTTCTAAAATCACAAAAATTAGCCAGGAGTGGTGGTGGCCGCCTATAATTCCAGCTACTCAGGAGGCTGAGGCAGGAAAATTACTTGAACCTGGGAGATAGAGGCTGCAGTGAGCTTGGATTATCCCACTGCATTCCAGCCTGGGCAATAGACCAAGACTCTGAAAAAAAAAAAAAAAGTCCTAGGCCATCATAACTGCATAGTGCATGCAATTAATTGCCTGACTTATACAGACACAAGTACCAGAGAATGTGGCACCAGTGTTAGTGTGAATGACATGAAATCTGAGTGCCTCACCTAATGTTTACAATGCTACTTGCTGTAGTGCCAGCCCTCTAATCAAACTTTAATCCCTATTTACTCCCTGCTTCTTATGCTTTTGCCAAATGGATCACTTGTTTTTAGAATGTGTCCTCTGCATTCTCATTTTCATATCTTTGTTCATTCTGTCTTCACCTTTTCTCTACTGGTCAAAATCTAGCTGATTCTGAAAGCGCCCCAAATGCCTCCACCTCCATGAAGCATCCCCTCTCTCAGAATGTCACCTCCTCCATAAAGACTTCTGGGCAAAGCTGATCTCGTTCTTGTTTTCTCTGAGGTCTGTTTATATCTCACAGTTAAATATTAGATATAATTATTGGCTGTCCCTTGCCCTAGACTTATAAGGATCCACAGGCATAAAAAACAACCAAGCACAATACTTATGTGCTCAATGAATAAATCTTGTGCCCACTCATGGCAGTTGCTTAACTGGCATAATAACTTCATTCAATACCAGTTGCTCTTTTGTATTAGAAGTTTTCCTGTGCATGCTATATCTTCAAATAAGACTCTGAGATCAATAAGGCTGGTGACTTGTATACACACATGTATCTCCTCTGGCATAAATTTTAAAAGGGTTATATGTGGGAGGTACTAAATGCTTATTTTACTCAAGAGAGTTGAAGAATGAAAGCCAGAATTTTAGAAGGCTAACTGCTATCTACATGAAAGACAACAATTAGATTTATAATATGTGATATAATATATGATACCATAAATAGACACTATTTAATACAGGGGCAGTAGCTCACACGTGTAATGCCATCACTTTGGGAGGCCAAGACAGGAGGATTGCTTGAGCCTAGGTGTTTAAGACCAGTTTGGGGAACATAGTGACATCTTACTTCTACAAATGAAAAAATGATCTGTTTATGGTGGTGCATGCTTGAGGTCCCATATACTCAGGAGGCTGAGGTGAGAGGATCACTTGCACCCGGGAAGTCAAGGCTACAGTGACCTATGATCGAGCCACTGCACTTCAGCCTAGGCAACAGAGTGAGATCCTGTCTTAGAAAAAAACAAAAAAAGTGATACCAAGTGACCTAAACCACTAATTGTCAATCTGAGTATATTAATAGCAATAGCAAAAAAATCCCAATAACAATTTTTAAAGACCTTTATTTTTATGGGAATAGCATTGTATAATGAAAAGAAAAAAGAAACACCCTCATGAGCTGCCCTGCCCCCTGTCACAGAAACCCATGCAAACCCTCATTGGACCTGAGGACAGGCCCACCCACCCTGCTGGCACCAACAGACATTGACTCCAGGGATGGAGACTGAGCATCCCTGACCACCACAGTCTGTGCTTGTGCCCACCATTGGGAGGCTGATGACAGGCTTGACCATCTGGAATCATGCCCACCAGCGCTTCTGTGCATTGCTGGGGCCTGGGGATCAACTTACTCTGCCTGCGATCAGCTTCTACCCACTCATACTAGGTTCCTGAGGAAAAGCCTGTACAGCCTGTTGGGACCTGCATACCTCATCCATGAACTTGGAGACTGACCCACCCTACCCACCACTACTAGCATCTGCAGCGTACACATACTCCTCCTGGGATACTAAGGATGGGGCTACCCAGTTTACTACTGCCACAACTAGTGCCCTATGGATGCTGTTTAGGAGCCAGAGGGCTAGTCTACCATCATTAATGCTATTGCCAACCCCATGCATGCCACTCAGAAACCTGAAGACCCACTCATCATGGCCACTGCTAGCACCTGAGCAAGCCACTTGGAGGTTCAAAGATTGGTCTGCCTGCACCTGCTAATACCAGTGCTCATATATGCCACCTAGGGGCCCACGGACAGGCAGGCTCAGTCTACTGCTGCCACCACTGAGGCCTGAGGACTAGCCCGCCCATCCCCAGCAAAGCCTCACCACAGCCTCCAATAACAACTGCAGTTTAAGTCACTAAGGAATTCACAGACACCACTGATACTTATTACAGCCAAGAAATCATATGGAGAGACAATTACTGCATGTTCCCAGAATCAAAGCTAAAGCGCCTTACCCAACTAACACTATAGATCCATAGGTAGGAAGAAGTCTTTCCGTATGAAAGTCAATTCAAAAATTAGAAGAAGTGACTATTGGAACAATCCAAGATGGCCGATCGCTAACATCTCGGGATTGCTCCCAGCGAAAGCTCAGACAATGAGAGGACGCCACACTTTCAGACAAATTTTGGTCACTCACGGAGCAGAAGATTCCCAGTAGAGGAGCTCCACGGGTTGCCAGCACGACTCTTGTGGCCGGCGCAGCGGTTTCACCAGCACCTCGGCGCGGCAGCTCTTGGTGAAGAGTAAATGGGACTGGTTCCCTTTCTGACCGAGGTTTGGAGGAGCCACAGGGGTTGCCAGCGCGACTCTTGAGGCCAGTGCAGCGGTTGTGCTGGCACCTTGGCGCAGCAGCTCTTGGTGCAGAGTAAACGGGACTGGTTCCCCTTCTGACCGAGGTTTGGAGCTCTGGGAAGGAAGAGTCGCCTATTACAGACTCAAGAAGGAAGTCAGACTGGAGATTCCTGGGCAGAAAAGCACCATCAGTCTTAATGCCGCTGTTTTGGCCAGTGCAGTGGGTTGCTCATATTTCGGCCCTGGGAATTAACAACTTGGATGTCCACTCAGAGACCTAATTTGAAAGTTGGTAATTACAAAGATGACAGGTAGATAAATTTATAATGATGGGA